AAGGACTTCTTTCAAAGCCAAATTGTATCTGCGATACATCACCACGAAGCAAGTATTAAGTTGTACACCCCGCGTAGATCCGTTTCGCTCTGATAATGTAATGACCCCACTCGGAGTCATTTTCAAAGGGGTTACACGGCGACACGGTAATGCAAGAAAAAGTGTTCGTAGTCAAATGCTTGAAAAAATTTCTGTAGCTGGTGTAACCTCATCACTCCCTCATTTACGTTGCTCCTTTCTGACCCAGTTCTAGCGAATGACACACTTCCGGCTGCAACATGTGAGGTTATGAAAAGGTTGTGGGTTTCTATCCGCGGTTCAAACTTTTAAACTGCCATCCCGCTCCCCCAGTGGGTTCTTGAAGGAGTGTACATTATTCCATATCAGCATAAAGGTACTATATCAGGGTTCTATCAAGCGTTAACATGTATATATGACCGACAAGGATATAAGGATGAATATTCGCGGTGGATTTAGATTTAATATTCACTGCCCATACTCTCAAATTCTTTTTGCCATTCTGGTTTACCTCTCCGTTACATCGTACTGATCACTACGAGCCAAGGCAATAAGCCTTCCCCTTTAAACTTTTGCTCTAAGCGAAACACCTGTAATTAGTGATGATAGTGAGAAGTTGCAGCACCACTGTTTCCCGCTGTTGCTTCTTACCATTACGATCCGAACCTCCCACAGAAACAGATAGAGAAAATATGACCCCCTGTCGAGTATATTCTCGACCACTGATCACGCTGGTGTAGTTTACAACAAATATTCCTATAAATTGAGTAGTATTTCAGCCATGCTACAGGGCGATGCCTCGATTCGTTCCACGACCGAAGGTACTCCTTGCTACTGAATATTAACTCGACTTCAGCCATAGTACCTCTTATAGTTTGTTTTCCTTAATTGTATTCTACAGACAGCGATGTTGTTCTAATCTTTAACAACGAAAAAAAATGTGGAAAAGTTACACAACGAACGTTGCCTTTGACAATTGAAGAATATTTTAGCTGTTCTACCGACCAAATCCCCGACTCTTTTATCGACCCAAGGTAATTCTTGCTGCTAATTAACAAATTGGCTTCAACTCTACTATCTGTTATACTTGTTTTCCTGAGTTCTACAAAAAAGAAAGAAAGTTATTCAAATCTTTGACAACGGGCTTCAGTGAAGAGTTGTCCATATTCCACAACTGACGAATTTGCTTTTGTCTATTGAAGACTATTTCAGCCGTGTTACCGGTCGAGGCCCCGAGTCGTTGTTTATCGACCTAAGGTACTTCTAGCTACTAATCAAACAGTCGGCTTTAGCTCTACCATCATACTTTGTTTCTTGAGTTCTTCGAAAGAGCGATCTTATTAAAATCATTGAATACAAGTTTAGTAATCATTGAATACAAGTTTAGTGAAGAAGTTGTCCATATTCCACAACTTTGCTTTGCCAAATTTGCTTTCGTTTTTGGCAAATGAAGAATGTTTTAGCCGATCTACCGACCAATTCCCCGATTCGTTTATCGACCAAAGGTAATCCTTGCTACTATTCAACAATTTGATAATAGCTCTGCTATGCATTTTACTTTGCTTCTCTGAATTCTATAGACAAGCGATTCTTGAATGTTTGACAACGGGCTTCAGTGAAGTTGTCCATATTCCACTACTGACGAATTTGCTTTTGTCTATCTAAGACCATTTTAGCCGTGTTACCGGTTGAGGCCCCGACTCGTTTATCGACCAAAGGTACTTCTTACTACTGATTATTGAATTGAATTTAGCTCTACTACGTATTTTACTTTCTTTCCCTGAACTCCGTGGACAAGCGTTTCTCGAACATTTGACAACTGGATTTATTGAGGAAATTGTCTATATCTCACCACTGATGAATTTGCCTTTGTCAAATGAAGAATGTTTCAGCCAATCTGCCGACCAATTCCCCGATTCGTTTATCGACCAAAGGTACTTCTAGCTTTTGAGCGATTCTATTCGAATCTTTTAGAGCAAATTATAGTGAAAATAGTTGTGCGTTGTTGATCCTTTACAATTTTGCCTTTATTGACTCGACAATATTTTAGCCGTGCTACCGGACTAGGCCCCGATTGGTTTATCGACCAAAGGTACTTCTTACTACTGATTATTGTATTGAATTTAGCTCTACTACGTATTTTACTTTCTTTCCCTGAACTCCGTGGACAAGCGTTTCTCGAACATTTGACAACTGGATTTATTGAGGAAATTGTCTATATCTCACCACTGATGAATTTGCCTTTGTCAATTGAAGAATGTTTCAGCCGTTCTACCGACCAATTCCCCGATTCGTTTATCGACCAAAGGTACTTCTAGCTTTTGAGCGATTCTATTCGAATCTTTTACAGTCGAGTTAGTAAAATAGTTGTCCGTTCTTGATCCTTTACGATATTTGCCTTTGTTGACTCGACAATATTTTAGCCGTGCTACCGGACTAGGCCCCGATTGGTTTATCGACCAAAGGTACTTCTTACTACTGATTATTGATTGAATTTAGCTCTACTACGTATTTTACTTTCTTTCCCTGAACTCCGTGGACAAGCGTTTCTCGAACATTTGACAACTGGATTTATTGAGGAAATTGTCTATATCTCACCACTGATGAATTTGCCTTTGTCAAATGAAGAATGTTTCAGCCAATCTGCCGACCAATTCCCCGATTCGTTTATCGACCAAAGGTACTTCTAGCTTTTGAGCGATTCTATTCGAATCTTTTACAGCGAGTTATAGTGAAAATAGTTGTCCGTTCTTGATCCTTTACGATTTTGCCTTTGTTGACTCGACAATATTTTAGCCGTGCTACCGGACTAGGCCCCGATCGGTTTATCGACCAAAGGTACTTCTTACTACTGATTATTGGATCGACTTCAGCTCTTTATTTTACTTTGTTTCCTTGAATTCCATAGATAAGCGATACTTGAATACTTGACTGCGAGATGTAGTGAAGAAATTGCCCATATCCTACCACTGATGAATTTGCCTTTGCCAGTTGAAGAATATTTTAGCCGTGCTACCAGTCAAGGCCCCGATTCGTTTACCGACCAAAGGTAGCTGATTATTAAGTGCTCTACTAAGTATTATATGAAGGTGGAAAAAAGTTTTGAAACACTTGGATCGTGCTGTTTCGTGATTTCTCTCCGAATGCTCTGGAATATTTCCATGGGTGGTGTATAGTAGGAGCGAACTTCTGCTGCGTACGGTGCTCAAATCAGCTTTCCCACTAATGACTTCGCAACACACGAAACCAACTTTCCCTGCGATACCGTCCGAACGCTCATCGTGCGGTTTGCGCTCGGAGCCACGAGAGGCATTCACAATTATCCCGTGATAGACTAGGGCATGATCTTTCAGTGGCGATTTAAGAGTGGCTCTCATGCCCCGCAGCGAGGCTATGATCCCCTTGATGCAGCGCACGACCTCTGCTCATCATGGCTTCGTCCGCGCCTTGATCGAGGGGAATCGAGAAAATCGTTTATTATCTGGCATACTGCCATAATTCCTTCCACATGCACCCATATTTCATGCTCTTCATTTATAAGACAATTCTTAGGAATGTGATCAGCGTGTACCACTCGATTTCACCGGGCGACATCTTCGCAATTACCCCTCATCGCACAACAACGATGATAGGCTGTCGCATGTGGCCCCTGGCTAGGGCAAGTGCATCTGCTGTACTAACGTACGCGGGAGGAGCGCCACCTCCTCGGAGTGGGCGGAACAAGGGTTTTACTGCTTTGACTTGACACTTATGGCAAAATGATGATGCTGTAGTGTTTCTGGAATTGTGACGACATTATCAGTGGATGGGCTCTGTCGGAAGGATCGACGATGACGAGCGCTATCCTCTGCTATCTGCTCGAAACGACTGCACAAAAATCGCCACTCAAAGCAGCTACAACTTAATTTGCCTTACGACTACAGGCGTCCACACGTATCTTGGGCTGGGAGATTCTCAAGCCAGGCCTGACCGCGGTTGCCCATTCGCCACTTTCGCTAAACATGTCTATTCACGCACTTCGCCTTCCCTGCTGTCTCGCTATTTACCTGGGTTACAAATAGGATTGACGCCGAAAAGTGCTTTGAATCCGACTTCCAGATACATTTCGGCAAAAAATTTTCCTTATTTGCACATGGTATGTAACATAGTACTCCGAAGCTTGGCGCGTGTGGTTTGATGACCTGATGGTTAGTAGGATAAGGGTCTTAGAAAACGACGAGTAGAAAAATAATTGAAATTTTGGCTGTGGCGTACTTGTTTCCTGGCATTTCAAAGACGAAGCGGACGTAATTATTCGAAGTTTGTATGGAACACGAGCTGTGGAGGTTGGTTGTCCGTTTTGATCCTTGACGATTTTACCTTTCTTAATCAAACAATATTTTAGCCCATCTACCGCTCAACTCCTCGATTCGTCTACCGACCAAAGGTACTCCCTACTAATAAGTGTTGAGTCGACTTTAGCTCTGCTATGTATCATACTTTGCCCTTGCCTGAGCAGTTTCGCAGAGTCAACGCGTTTTTATTCAAATCCCGGACGACAGTGTGCCCTTTCTTGATCCGTAGGACGAAATGGGATTTAGTCAATTAAGCTATATTGTGTAGGGCGGGGTGAGCGGGGACAACGGCGGCGCGATTCGGGTGCTACGGAGAGGGCCAAAGGGGTACGTGCCTGGTGGCTAGGGGTGAACTAGTGAGTGAGAGCATTAGCTGCGTGGTAGCGGGATCACACTTTGGCGGTCGCGTGGAGTTGTGATAGGGACGAAGGGCGAGTAATGTGATTCAGGGTGTTCTTTGACAAAACGAGCTTTAGTAAAAATTATCCTGCTGTTATGCGCTTGGACGTAATTCGCTCCATTCAAGTTGAGACAATGTTTAAGCCATGCACCGTGACAACGCGTCGCGATTGGTTCTACGACCAAGCGTACTCCCTTGTCTACTAACTATGGTTGAGTCAAGCATTTTGCTTGACTGACGGATCACACGCTTGCGTCTCTGAGTTTCGGATAAGAAACAGCACACATACTGAATTCAATTGCTTTGACAACGAGCTTATGAGTAAGAAATTATCGCTGCTAGTGATCATCTGGACGAAAGTGGGCCTCCATGCAATTGAAAGCATGTGGTGGCGTGCTACCGGGACTAACGCAGATCGATTGCAGTCTAACCGACAAAGGGTACTCCTTTCTACTAACTATTGAGTCAAACATTAGCTCTGCTACGGATCACACTTTGCGTCCTGAGTTTCATAGACGAACGATATTATTCAATTCTTTGACAACGAGCTTTAGTAAAAATTATCCTGCTTTATCCTTGACGAATTCGCCTCCATCAATAACGAGTGGTTAGCCATGTACCGACAACGCGTCGGATTCACTACCGACCGCCGGTCGCAAAGGTATCCATTGCTATCTATAAATATTGAGTCAACATTAGCTCTGCTACGGATCACACTTTGCGTCCCTGAGTTTCATAGACAAGCGATATTATTCAATTATTTTACAACGAGCTATAGTAAAAATTGTCCTGCTGATCCTTGACGAATTCGCCTTCATCAATTGAGACAGGATGTTCTTATGTCCTATGCTAGGAAACGCGTCGAGTTCGGCTGACGACAAAGGTACTCTCCTGCTTACTTAATTATTTGATCGACTCTAGCTCCGCTGCGTATTAAAACTCTGTGCTGTTCCCGAGTATGGACAGAGCGATATTTAGTTGAAGTCTGTTGATTGAAGTTAGTTCCATTTCTGTAGTCCGTGACGAATTTGTCTTCAGCGATGGGGCTTATATTTTAGCGTACGACAACGCGTCGCATTCGTTCTTCCGACCTAAGGGTATCTCTGGCCTATCTAATGTGTTGACGGCGGATTTAGCGTCTGCACGATATGTATATTTGTATTGGTTGTGGTTGTATGCGTACATCGGAGTTCCACGTTAACGTTCATAGTTCAAACGGATCCAGTATTCGAACAAACGAAAATACTGCTAGCTATTGTTTGATCAGCCCTTACTGCCTTTACATGTTACTTACAACATGCGTGTAACTACTGTTTTTGGCGAAGCTAGCCTCAGCATGCAAGGTTGTCAGTTAAAGCGAGAGATTACGATAAAGTGCGTATGCAGCGTGGAAGTACATGCACCATTGGAAGCAGTAGTCAGGGGCCCAAGGAAACGAAATGTTGCGTTTTTGTGGTCAAAGGTGCGCTAGTTGCAGCGTACAAGGCTTGCCATTCCTTTCTGAGCCCCGCCACGGTCTGTGCTCCGCCCCCAGCAGCAGCGCCCTTCGATTGCCAATGTGACGAGATATTCCACTTCCAGAGTGTATCCTATAACTTTTCATGGGATGCGTGATCAATCAAAGCATGATGCTTGCTGAAATGATAGAGGCTATCAGCATAACATGTGCAAACGACCTCCTAAAGTTTCTTTTTATTCGGTATATTGGGAGATTGGGCTCTATCGTGTGCTAGCTCGTCCATTATCGGAGGTCAACGGGCAAAGAAAGGGGTCCCATTTTGCGCCTTCTTGACGGATTTCTTTGCTTTTTTCGCCACTGGGGCATTATTCAGCATCTCCACTTCCACTATGAACCCAGTCCAAACTTATCGTAACCCCTCACTTTAACTACAGTTTCGCATTTCGTGATGTTCATTACTCGGGAAGTTCTTCTCTGAATCAGGTTTCAGCCAAGCTCTAACCCAGCTCAAATCTTGTGTAATTAACATATACAGTTTATATATTACTTTTTTCATAAAGTTCACAAAAGTAAAAAACTTTTGGGAGCCGACATGATGATTCACTGTTATCTCTACAGGACCTGGCTGCCTTTTAAATTTTGAGTTTGAATTTGAACATAGAGATTCAGCTGATATCTTAAGGCTACCAGAGGGGTTTTCGTCATGGGCTCAATTCATGCGGTTTTGTTGGTGATCCAGTAGTTTAGTTCATCTAGTTGTAGTTATCAATCGGCCTGGATTTCTCGATTCTCTTTCTCTTGAATGGGAACTCCCATCGACAAACGGTTTTTCTGCAGTGCTTCATCCGCTTAATGATAACCAGCATGGCAACTCGTGATGTTTACAGATTTTATGGAGAGAGTGCAGTGTATTACAGAAGTGCTATTGATTTATTTTCCATGCTCAGTAAGATCTGGACCAGCCGCTAGGCTCTGAATGGCCCCGAGCTCAGCTAAATCTCATTTTCGGTCATCAAACATGCGGAAGATGGATTCTTCGCAATTCCGACAGATTGCGCATAGCGATGCCAACCAAAGTCGTATTTCTGAGCTCTTTTTGACTCAGCCGAAGCATTTTGGTGGTAACTACTTTCAAAGTAGTCTAAGTATTAACTCCACAGAATTCTATGAAGCTACTCGCGAAAACAAGTTCTCTTGGGGATTTCTGTGGCGCTTGATACGAGGAAATGAGCGTTTGTGGCAAGACGCATAAGTTTTGCTGGGACGCCATGTTCCCATGACGTCACTCTTGACAGCATAGCAAGAACTTCTTCTTCTCGCTATACTTCATTACCCTCAGTCCCAAGGTCCGCTGTTCTTTTTGGTCGTCGCTAGTTTCTCCTCCAAGGCGCCTTCTACATTTTTTCTACGAATGGGACTCACCTTCCATAGTGGTGAATGCTTACGTAACTCCACCATCAGAGAATTAACTAGGATTGTACTGACTAGGAAAGGATGATGGGTCGAAGTGGCCATATGTAATGAGACCTACACTGTTGGATGTGTTTTTGGACGCTGATCTCGAATCTGCTTTCCAAATCTGCCAAACGATTTTCTGAACGGAGTTATGAAGCAAAATAGAGCAGCGGTAGTGGTCCGGCTCACGGCGAGAGGTCGTAGGATCGATTCCTGACGGGTGATTTGGCTACAAATTTGGTCCTAAGGTATTTTCATCTCGGAACACGAATATCACACCTGTTGCTGCAAAAGCGTCTGTCAAGAGTTCTGCAGGGCTTCATGTGCAGTCCTTCAAGAAGCGCCCAAGTTTCTTGGAACCTCACAAACTCTTTGCATAGGTCTATAGGCAAACGATAATTAAGAAAAGTACTCGGGAGTCTGGGAGCGGTCCGGGGATCAAATCCTGGGTCGTGAGTCGCCCGGGCCAACCAAGCCTTCCATCCCTCCGGGGTCGGTTAATTGGTACCAGACTTGTCTGGGAGGATAAAAACACTGACTTGTACATCGGCTGGCCCCCGCAAGTCATTGTATAGGCCACATCGCATTCAAACGCCACTACGAATGTACAAATGGAAGTAGAATGCGTGCCGCATCCCAAAAAGGGATTGATCAACGGCAAATGCTTTATTTTTCCTTTATGGATCTTCCCAAATCATCCGCGAGGGTAAAATTAGAACACGTCAGGGAATGATCCTACGACCTCTCGCTCGCCCTGAGCCTGGACCACTACCGCTGCTCTCTTTTTGCTTCATAACCTTATTCATAAAATTGATCGGCAGAGTTTGAAAGCAGATTCGAGAGACCAGTGTCTAGAAGCACATTTAATGGAATACGGCCACGCCGATCCATCATCCTTCCCTTAAGGGTGTGTATTTTTCAGTAGAGAGCTAAGGTAAACATAACGGCTAATTAAATCCATTAGTAGAATGCGTCTACCTGGTTTTGTGGGTTTTTTGAAGCAATAGGCTTCTCATAAGATGAGGCTAATCTATGTATTTCAGTTCACGACAAGAAGGGTAAATGTGATCAAACTTCTTGAACTCTACCATGCAATTGTGTTGTTGTCTAATTTTTCATTCAATTCAGCCATGGAGAATTACAACCAGAAAGTATGAAAGGGTAAGCCCGTTGAAGGTATTTTGCCTTTCTTTCTAGCTGGCGCAAAAATATGTTTGCTACTGTTGCAAATCTTCACTACGACCATCAAATTAGGACCATTGTTCATTTTGATTGTTCAAACCTTAACTCGACGAACGTGTTGACCGCAGAGGTTCACACACGCACATCAAAATATTATCCCTTTCTGCGTTATCGTGTCGTATGTGATGATGGCTCTTCTTATGCTATGCTATCTTCTTCAAAGGCAGAAAGTCGGGCTCAATAAGGGGGTATTATGGCGATTGAAACTGAGTATAGAGATGCGAAGTGGAACGACAGTGGAGAAAAAACTGAGAAAAACCGTCGACAAGGCCGTTAACAAAACCCTCTTTCCCACTAGCAGTGAAGGAGGCACGTACAAACAAGTTTTCTGGAGATGTCAGTCGTTCTATCGGTTGATACGGCAATCAACCTAGCTGATTTCACACGTTATGCCAGCCACGCACCACTTCCGGAGGTGGGCGGTCCTGGATTGACCAGGCGGCCCTGGATTGAAACCGAACGCCCCGGGGCCTTAACGGGGTTTTCAAGGTGGGAAGTTGCTGCAATGTGTGCAGCTACCCACATACAACCTCCAG